TAGTAAAGAATTAAGAAGGAGGGAGTTGGTGATCCAGCTCAGGGCTAGCGTGTTGGCAGAGGATGCCCAGACCTAGGGCTTCATTTCCAGTACTCCCATCCCCACCAACGTGTGTTTCTATTAAAGGACATTAAAAAAAACAGTCAAAAAATGAGGCAAAATACCACCATGCTAACAAATGGGATGATTTAGATTTAAAATACCTAAATCCTATAAAATTAATTTACAGATCCAGTATAAGTCAAATAAAAATTTGGGAGATTTTTGGAGTGAAATCAACAGAATGAACCTGAATTGTATCTGGCAAATATTTCAGGGTAATTTTAGACAACAAAACAAAGCAATTGAAGTTTTTAAGCAAAGGAACAAAGTACGGAGCTAAACAGACCTGTGAATCCACAGGGTTCGTTATAGAGGCAGGATGCCACAAATCAGTGAAGGAATAGTGAATTATTTAGAACTTGATATTAGAAATAAGGAGAAAGATACAGCAGATTCCTTTGTCCTCTTTTATAAAATAGGCTCTGAATATATTAAATATAAATATCAAATATACAAGAAAAGAAGAAAATACAGGACACCAGGAAAATATATTTTTTAAAAATAGATGCTGTAGTCTGGGTTTTCTGGAAAACAAACTCAAAGACAGAGATTCACATCAGGATGGAACTTACCAGTTCTTGGAATACAGACATATGGAGGCTAAAGGGAGAAAGATTGGTGGTACAGTCTTCACAGAGGATTCAGTCGATCCCCTAAAGGGCTCTGGAGGTGGGACAGCCCTAGCAGTGAGTGGACAGAACTTTTATTACTGAAACTGACCTGTGTTTGGAAGCAAGCTACCCAGAGGAAGAGGCACAGCGGATCAGGTGCAATGCTGGAACTACTAGCTTTATTCTGTTGATAATTATGAATATGCTGCCATGGATGTGGGAGTACTTAATATCTCTGTGAGATGCTATTTTTAAACCCTTTGGATATATACCCAGAATGAGATTATTGGATCATATAGTACTCTATTTTTAATATTGTGAAGATCTGCTACATGGTTTTACACAGAGCAATACCGTCTTACACGCTTGCTAACACTGATGGGTATAAGGGAATAGCCCAGTGTTGTTATTCCTTTAATTTATTTTAAAAGTAAAATTAATGCCAGGTGTGGTGGCCCACACCTTTGAACCCAGCCCTTAGGAGGTGAGTTCAAGGGCAGCACGGCCTACATAGTGAGAAGAGGCCAGTCAGAGAGAGAGAGACTTTGACCAGAATAAAACTGATTATCTTATTATAAAAGCAATACACATTGATTATAGAAGGTGAGGAAAGAAAGAAGAGCATAGTGAAGAAAATAAATATTTCTTACACTCCCGCTATTTTCAAGATGACTGCTGTTCACATTTCAGCTTGGAGCTCTTCAGAGTTTTTTCTAACCATATACACCCAAGGCTAATGATACAATTCGACAAAAGGCCTCCTATTTCCTTATGGATATACCATGTACCGGGTTCCACCTGCCCCTGAAGGAAAGCACTTTGAACAAGTTACATAACTATACTGCAATTCTAAATGTACTTAAACATCATAAACCTGAGAGCATACTATTTGTTAGCACAAAACTTACTTCGTTCCTATTGGATAGTTGTTTTCGAAGTCTTTATATGATTAAATCCTGCTAATAATAATTGTACCTAAAATTTCCCATGTATTAATGATTCCTTTTGATAAATTTCTAGAAATGACCTTGAAAACGAAATGTTTAATGACTGCTTATTATATGGTCTGAACCATGTTTAGAAATAAAATACACAGTTTTGATGCAGGGATGTAGATCGTTACGTCTTTCCAAAGAGAAAGTTGAAACACAAGCCTTGAATTCACTTGATTCGGGTCGGGAAGCTGGAAAACTTGAATAGACAGCCTGGGCTATGGGGAATCACTTTAAGTACAGGCCAGGTGGATGTAGAAGAGTCGAGAATAAATCTACCTTGCACAACTGGTGACGGGGAGTTTGACCACTTGATCATTTCCGTAGGAGATAAAGTCATTCAAAAGCAACCTTTCCTTGAGTTAGAAAACAATTTCTTGCCAGGATGATGATTATTCTAATAGGATGTAGAGCATTTGTTACTGAGCTCAGGTCTAGAAGGTAATTTAAATGAACATTTAATGGGTAATAATGTTTTCATGTCGCTTTTTGTTAAATTTCAAGGCACCCAAGGCCATGCTTCTCTGTGCTACACTTTAGATGCCTTACCCAGACAGAGGCGATGGCCTTTGTTACTTCTTCTTATTGACGTTTAGGTCTATAATGTAATGAGCACTTTGAAAAAGAATGTATGAAAGTGTGTGTTAATGGAGGAATGTTACTTCCCTCTTTTTACATTTAGTTCAAGATTTCTAGTATTTAAAATAGAACAAATTTAGAAACACAAGATACAACTTTATCTAAGTACATTTACAAATGGGAGTAAAAGCGGAAAGAGAGTGAGGAATGATGCCAGACTTCTTCATTAAAGAAATTTAATTTCAGTGTCTTGAGTACAATATATAATCCAGCCAAAGAGTGTATACAGGAATAAAACTGGGAAAGGAGAAGTCCACTTTAAAAGGCTAACATGTTACTAATTGTGTTACTGGGCCTTTTATTACTGTAACAAAATGCCTAGCTAGGTCAACTTAAAAAGAGCGCAGGTTTATTTTGGCTCACAGTTGACTACCTAATTGTTGCTGTGACCCTGTGGCAGCATAGCACACCACTGCGGACACTCACCACACGTGAGAAATTGCTTACTTCATGATTTCTGAAACTGTAATACTTTTGTTCACCAACCCCTCAGAGAGTACTTGGCATGCAAAAATTATCCAATAGTTATTCGTTGAGTAAAGGAATGATCTGTACACATTCCAAGGGCAGAGCAGGCCTGTGACCTGCTGTGCAGATCATCTTGGTCTCTGTTCTTAATTTCTGTTCATACTACCTTGGCCTTCCTCAGCTTATATTGACCAGCTTCTTCTATCTTCTTCCTCTTCCTCTCCTCCTCCTCCTGCTCTTCCACCTTCTCACCCCTCCTCCCTTTGCTTCCTCATCTTATACTGAAGAGCCTCTTCTTTCTCCTCCTCCTTTTTAATTTTGTTTTGTTTGTTTTTTGAGACAGAGTTTCTCTGTGTAGCTCTGGCTGTCCTGGAACTTGCTTTGTAGACCAGGCTAACCTTGAACTTAGAGATCTGCCTGTCTCTGCCTCTACAGTCCTAGAATTAAAGGCATGCTGATGTGGGGTGTTCTTCTGTATATGTGTTGCTTTTATTGATTGATAAATAAAGCTTTTTCGGCCAATGGCTTAGCAGAGTAAAACCAGGCAGGAAATTCTAACATCCATCCATCCATCCATCCATCCATCCATCCATCCATCTATCTATCTAGGAAGCCCAGTCAGGGAGATGCCATCTAAGCTGCCTAAGAAGTAAGAGGTAACAAACCACGAACCTCATGGTAAAATACAAAATAATAGAAATGGGTTGGTTTACGATATAAGAGTTAGTTAGAAAGATGTCTGAGCTGTTGGCCAGAACAGCTTTATTCAGTAACCAAGAAAAGCAACAGATACAGAAGGACATCCTACATCAGCATGCGACCCCACCGCCCAGGGAGGAGCCACTTATTAACCACAGGTGACAAAAAGTAGAAGCTGGTGATTTTGGGCACAGTGGCGGTGGTGGCGAACAGGGAGGAGAGTAAGCATTAAGTTTACATTATCCAGTTGCTGTGAGTGAAAGGAAATCTTGACAATCCGATCTACCCGATTTTGGTTATCTCCGGATGCCGTTCATGTAGAACAAAGGAAGACACTTCCTCGGAATCTGGATTTGGTGAGGCGCCAGGAGGATGCTGCGGTGGAACACCTCCACATCCGTTTTGGCTGACTGTGGTGTAGTCCCATCCGCTGGGAGGAAGACTCACTTCAAGTTTCAGCCACACTGACCACAGGGCAATGCAACTGTCAAGACTGCTGCTAACCAAGATCCAGATTCCTCCTCTGGGATTTAAAGTCCAGAAAGCAGAGCCTGAACTAGCTAGTCCAAGCACGCAGGGGTGTGGAGACTGAAGGCGAGAGCTGGCGTGGCATGCTGCTCCCCGTCCTTAGGCAAAGGTCGCCCCGGGTCGAGGGCTGGGCCCTGGAAGAGCATAAGGTACCGCGCAGTGCCAAAGGGTCACCGCCTCCCTCCTGATCTCCATTCCTTTGGGGAGTTCTGAGTTGCCAACTTGCATCCGTGCCACTAGACTCTCCACATTAAACAGCCCTTTGTTTTTTCTTTCTTTGGCTGGAGGTGGGGGTGGCAGTGGGGACAGTTGGTAGTGAACGAGCGATACACACCTGTACAATACTGTCAAGGTCCCTATGGCTAAAATTACGCTTAAGAAACTTAACTACAAGAAACCCCCGGCAACTCCTGCCCCCTTGCTGGGACCAAACGGCCTCGTGCTCATGCCAGCGGGTTTTCCAGTTGACTAACAGGCGACCCTGTTCGTCTTTCGACTCAGCTCTCCTGGGACTGTCATGCTAAGGTTCAAATATCCGAGGGAAAAGGAGAAGAAACGAAGGCAATCCGAGTGAGGCGGCGGGCGGGTCCGGCTCCGCACTCTGAAAATGGGAAATCCACGACGACCGCGCATCGCGGTCTGTGGTTTCCTTTCGTTATGAAACCCTAGACACCCGCTGTGGGTGCCTGCCTGCTCGTCAGGCGTGGCGTGGGAGGGGAGCCGAGCCTCCAAGGGCGAGGTGTCCTCCGCTGCGTCCCAGTTCAAGTTTCGGTGGAAACTTTCTCTCGGCGGCTCCGCCTCCTTCACCTAGGAAACCCGTGCGCGCCGTGGGCCCCGCAACCCGAGTCCCGGGAGCACCTGGCAGAGGCGGGGCGGGGCTGAGGGGCGGGGCCTTCTGGGGGCGGGGCCCGGGCGGTGGAGACCTTGTGGGCGGGGCCTGCTGCTTGCTCCCCTGAGTCGCCGGGCAGGTTGGGCTCGGCCCCTGCCAGCGCGCCCCGCCCAGGCTCCTCGGAGGGTGCGGGTTGTGTGGGGCGGATCGAGCCCGAGACCTGGCCGGCTTCGCCAAGGGCTGACGCGCCCGCCGGAGAAAAGTTGTGCCTTGACCTTCTCTCGCCTGGTGATTTGTCCCCGGGTCCCCAGGCTGAGTGGAAGCCAGGGCCGGAGGTCACCGCGTCCAGACGCCAGAGGGCAACTGCCCGGGCGTCCGGAGTTGGGTGTTGGGCCCGGCAGGAGCCGACTCTGCCCCCGCGGTTAGTGCCCTGAGCCCCGGCAGCTCGGTTGTCCCTGGGACCTCCGCACAAACTTTCTGACTGTCGAGGGGACACCGCGTGGCGGGAGGATTCGTGGCCGCCCGGAGGTAAGAGATCTGCGCTTGAAGTATTGCTTTTATTTTATTTTAGGATGTTGGAAGAGGAGGAGGGCGTCCCGAGAGCCTCCTTCCTGCATCCTGCTGGGCGACAGGAGCAGGTTTTTGAGAGAGGGAGGGCAGGAAGGCTGGGACCTTCCCAGCTCAAAGCCCTGTGACTGCTTGGGACGCTGCGGGCTCTTGCACGCGACGTTACTCATGACTGACCCTGGGCAGAGAGGGCCAGCTTGTTTTGACGGAGGAAGATGTCATCAGGCTTTTCTCGCTCCCTCGGGCCGCAGTGCCTGGGTCTCCCAGGAGTAACTGGCAAAGGCGATGAGATCTGGATCTGTCTTCCTCGCCAAACCTCCTGGCGTTCACGAAATCGGAGGCGGTGCCTGCCTCTGGGCTTGCAGCGCTTTCCTGGTGTGAACCATTTACTGTTGGGTGACTGTTGCTTAATTTTATAAATTCTCTGGTGAAACTGAGCTGTGGTTCTCATTGGTAGTGTGTGTGGGTTCCCTGGCTTCAACAAAGCTCTCTTGTTAACAAAACTGCTATGAGGTAGTAGACTAGTTATTATTTTATTTCAAGCTTGGGTAGATGAGGTATTGGTGGCAACAGCTGCTATGTTTGCGTGGAACTTTGGGAGCCACGTGTGTGGGTCTGGAGAATTAAGTCTAGGTTGGCTTTAGCCTCCTGTACTTGACTGATCAGCTGGCAACCATTCCACAGGTGCTGCAGCCCTAGCCACCCAGGTGCAGGGAATACCACTCCGTTGGCTGCTCTGGGAGGGTCCTGCTGTCAAGTTCATCTCATTAAGAAGTCAGCTGCTTTCAGCTAATAGCCATAGCAACTCTGGTGAAATTATATAGGCCATTGGAAAATAATTCCTGCTTAATCACCTTTATCCTGTCGATTAACTAGGGGGAAAATCCCCCCTCCTTAATGTACATGCCTGACCTGCAGTTTAATTGTACACCTGGCACTACTAGATAGGACACCTCTGAAGCTATCTGGATCCTGTGGACCCCAGCCAATGTCCCCATCTGGGAAACGTCAGGGGTCTTCTTGGGACGGAAACTGAGTGAGAGATTCAGTCCAATATAGCCGACAGGTTGGCTTAACTTTTCAGATAATTAAAGACTGATCTTTTTGAGCACCAGTGAATTCTTTCTCAGGCACTGCTAAGAATTTTAAGGCTGTGGCCCCACTTATCATTTGTCTTATAGTTATAGGGATGTGATTAAATTACCTGGGAAGTAGGGCAAGGGGACTGGGCATTGCTGGCGTGGATTTAGTTGAGAGCGGTTTAATAATTCAGGCTCGACTATCCAGCTAGCTTTTTCTTGCTTCCAACAAGAGGCACTGTGGGGCATCCCACTTTAAATGTAGGCCTCTGGAGACTAGAAATGACAAGGGTGTTCTGTTTTTGTTTGTTTGTTTTTTTTCTGTCAGAGTAATACACTGCTGGACAGTTCTTAACCTCCCAGGTTTAGTTCAGAACTTTTCCTGCAAACTTCTTTCTGTAGCAGGAGACTAATAGACAATGGCTGTACACCCCAAACAGATGTATGAAGATATGAGGCAAGGTGGGGGTACATAGAAGATGCTGGGGAGTAAACTTGTGAGTCTGCATTACCTTTTCTTTCAGTACCATGGATTGAAATCAACGCCTCGGGCATGCTAGGCAAACACTTTACTATGGTCTGACATCCTCAGTCCTCTTGGGTTACTTTTAAAAGGGAGACCCTGGTGAAAATATTACAGAATGGCCGTCTCCGATCTCTGCTTAAGAAACTCGATCTCCATTCTGTGTGCAGTTGTCTGTGGTAGCTCACAGGCCTATTCAAAAGGGGGACTCTTGGACTCCGACTTTGAAGGACAGTTTGTAGCGACTTCATCTTTTATTTCCCTGACTTCCAAGCACTAGTGAATCACGTATGTAGAGAACAGTGCTCAAGAGTGACCAGAACCCCAAAGATTCTGTTTATGGATCTCCTGGATAAAACAGTAATGGAAGCAAACCTTTCTACAGTGTTATGATTGACAAGTGCCAGATTAAGGCCGTGTAAAGTAAACACTTCAGTGAGTCCATTGCACTTAGACCACACAGGAGGAAGACAGAAGAGGTTCAGGGCTATAAAGAGACTTATTCAACTTCTCAGCTTCTGGGAGTAGTGGACTTACATACACAGCAATGTAAGATTGTTGACTTATGGGCTATACTTTTAATTTTTCCCATTACAATTCATGAAGTTTTTGGGTATAAAATGGAATTTTGTTTTTATTTAAAAGTCTCTCCCTCCCTCTCTCCTTCCCCCCCTCTCCCCCCTCCCTCCCTTCCTCCCTCTCCCCTTCTCCATGTGTGTGCACATGTTTTGGAAGCTAGAGGTCAATGTTACATGTTTTTCTCAATATCCCTCCACTTTACCTTTAGAGACAGGATCTTACTAAGCCAGCAGTCCTGAGAGGTTTTGCTCTCCACCTCTCCCCCTCCCCCCATGCTGGGATTGCAGGTATGTTGCTGCTGTCCCTGGTCTTTTTATTTGGGTGCTTAGAGAACAAACTCAGTTCCTCATTCTTGAGCAGCAAGGATGTTGCCGACCAAACTTTCTCCTCAGCCCAATAAGACTATTTGTTGGGGCTGAAGAGATGGCTCAGAGGTTAAGAGCAAGGTCTTCCAGAGGACCCCGGTTCAATTCCCAGCACCCACGGGGCAGCTCACAACAGTTTGTAATACCAAGATCTGTCACAGAAATATATGCAAATAAAATACCAATGCACATAAAATAAAAATAAATAATTAAAGAGTTTATCAAAATTTATTTATTTATTTATTAGAGAGTGAGTTAGGGAGAGCATTTCCGTTATGAAAATGCTTCAAATACTTTTTGCTGTTAAGTCTGTGGTTACTTTTGCATAGAATTAGAAGCGTACAGTTTATCTGCAACAGTTTAAAAGTTGACAGTGTTGCTCGGTTGGATTTGTGAAGCTTAACTTTGCAGCTCCCTTTTATTCTGGGCAACTGTTACTAGGACAGACACTAGAGAGGCTTCTGAGTTAAGTTCTAAGAGTAAGGATGCCACTGCCTTCTGAAAGAGAAGTTGAGCTATTTTTGATGAATTGTAAAGATTTTTCTTCTCTTTATAAATAAGATTTTTGCCTGCTTCTGATCATATCACTAACATAAAATGATTATATTCATGATCATGTATGTTATATATTATTCAAAATAAAAACTAGGCATTAATGAAGTATAATGTTGAAATTTAAAAACATACTATATTTTGAAAAATATATACTTTGAAAAACCTGATGCAAGTACATGTATTTTTCCTGTTAAACTTTTCCTTGTAAATATGACAGCTGGTACTGAAACTCTAGAAAAATTATTTTCCTTATATAAAGATCTTTTTGAGCACATTGTTGTTAGTAACAACTGAAGTTATACTATACGACTTTCAAGTTGTCTCACTCATTCACTTATTTTGCTGAGTTGAGAATGCCATCCCGGGCCTTACGCATGGCAGGTAGATGTTCCTTCCCCTCAGCTACCATCCTAACTGTTGCTTTTTATTTTTAACGTGACAGTGTATCTTGAAAGGGTTTCCATGATTATGCACGCAGATGATCCTTGTGTCTTTTTAAATTGTTGTACAGTATTGTATTGAGCAGCTGTATCATGGACTCTAGAAATCACCCTTGGAATTCTTTAAGGTGCATGTGTGTGCCTTCTGTAGGACAAGCTTGTGGAAGAGGTACCGATAGGAAAATGTCAACTTTCTCTGATTTGTTAGTGTCCTTTCAATGTTTAGAAGACATTAACACTTCCTGGTTGTACAAGGTTGAGGACAGGTGACTGGGGAGGCCACCGGAATGCAAAGCTCTAAGGTGGGGTTCACCTCATTTCCTTACATTTCAGATTCTTTTTTGGTTTTAGTGTTTTCCCCAAAGAGGAGGAAGTAATTGATAACAGTTATAAAATGACTCTTCCGTTGTTGGACGATCTGCTAATTAGCTTTTATAAAGCAAAGTTTTTTTTTTTTCTTTAAAAACGTGTTCTTCAGAACATTATTCTAGGATATGCCGTTAAGGAGTTCAGAAAATCCAGAGTCGGTTTTGCAGAATGCCAGGAACGTATCTTGGCTCCTCTCTTTGTGTTGTTAGAATTACCTCATTGTCATGGATCAGTTATAGGATCTTTGGTCTTGTAGAAAGTTTCAGGAATTGATCATCCTTGTGATGTGTGTGTGGATGCTTGTCTGTAGCGCTCAGAGGACAACCTTGGATGCCGTTCTTAGTGACGTCAACTCCTCCTTCGAGATGGAGTGTGTTGTTAACCTGCAGCTCATAGGCCAGCCAGTGAGCCTCATGGATCTTCCTGTCTCTGCCTCCCAGGTGCTGAGATTAGAAGTATTTGCTAACATGTGTGACTCTTTTCTGTGTGTTTTGAGGATCCCACCCATGTCCTCATGCTTTCATGGAAGCGCTTTGCCTACCGAACCTGGTTTTCCCAGCCCCTGATTTTCTATGTGAAAAATTTTCACACTAAAATAAAAATTTATTAGACATGGACTTCATTTGTATATTCTTGTTTTGATTTTTTGTTGGGGAAAATACCCCTTTAATGTATTATTTTTGATTATTGTCTATTCTATAACACTAGCATTTTTTGAGATGCTGAATATTTGAAATCTCTCTTTTATATATGTATATACGTATATATATACACACATATATATACCACAAGATATATGCATTTTTGTCTTATTTTAAAACCATGATGTAGTAGTTTAAATGTTTATGAGAACTCAAACATAGGATTTTTATTAACCTTTATTTGCCTGAGGAAACATGGAAGTATTTGATATTTACCTATCAATTGTAATAAGAAACCTCAGCCAGCTGTGGCAGCCATGTCTATAATCCCTCACAGGAGCATTTATAGAAAGATGATTGCTGCAAGTTTGATACCTGCCTGGGCTACATAGTGAGCTAGCCTGGACCAT